ACGGACAAAGTTACAAGTTCCATCCCAGCTCCATGCTTAGGTATTCTCAGATTTTCAACCATGTTGGAGTATCCCCTGTGTGCTCCTTTCCAGGAGACATTTGCCACCCAAGGACATTTGTTTTCTTACTCTCAATGGCAAGAGACTAATTTTTTATTTTCTTTGTAAAAAAACAAACTTTCTAGAAAAATCCAAAAGGTTACTGATAGGAGGAGAGGTTAAAATGATCCCATTACCAGGCACTTTATCCCTAAGTTAATATGAAGAGCATTGTCTCATTTTAAATAACTAAACATCTAAAAATTGAAGGAACACTTCAATTAAGAGCTAATATACAATCGGTAAAATGTTTTGGACAATTCTCAGCAACTTAGAATTGGGTGCATACTTTTTTCATTTGTTTGGGTGAACCGTGCATCAGTCCCTTTTTAAGTGAAGAACTCTTTGCCCACCATCATCTCAATGGTGCCATGAAAACACTTTTTGATAAAAGTTGTAATTCTTGGTTATCTTTGTTTTTAATTGCTTTTGCATATTTATATGTACAGCTCATCTTCCTCAATGTTTGGGACTCAGCAGTTAGGAAGGGAGAGATGTCCATATCCGTACGCTAAGGTGATGGCATTGCCCTATCTATAAGGTTTCTTAATGGACCCACAACAAACATGGCTTTTCAAGGCAGTTTTGTAACCTGATGCCTAGGGAAGTGGGAGTCCACATCCTGTAGAGGTGAATGTACAAAGGAATTTTCCTAAGAGTAGTTATTGGCAGTAACTGTTGTGTGTGTGGTGGCTTTTTTAAGTTCAAAACCTCAATTACATTTTCATAATAGTCTGTGACTGATATAACATGACTTTTACTGAGTTCACATATGTCTTGCTAGACTGGAAAATCAAATTGTAAACTGCTTGTTTGGGACAAGGCCTAGCTTGATTGTGCATCTTTTATAGGCTTGGAATCCTGCAGCAGAAGACCAGTGTTTTGACAGATGTCATAGACTTGGCCAGAAGCAAGCTGTTGTCATCACCAAGGTGAGCTGGAAGATCTTACGTCTGAACAGTTTTATGATTATGATATAGAAGTATGTGGGGCTTTTGCTTAATGACACTTTCATTTAAAATTATTTGACATAATTTGTCTATTTTTTTAAATGCTTAAAGATGTCGCCCTATGTTTTTGGGTCCATACTGAAACGTAAAATTGAATAAGCGTTTTTCATAACTAACTTACTAGTTTTAGGCACAGGATATGTTGATGCCTAGTCCACCAATAATGTTGTTTATTTTTTGGCAGAAAAGGCAGTGCCCTTCCACATGTCACTTGTTTTCCTTCCTGCTGATCTGGTTCTTTAGCAGCCAAAGTCTCTTTCCAAAGTCAACTATGAAGATCTTATTTAGGACCATTGGAGGCAGATCCTGTGCTGCTATCAGCAGCAAAAAGATTTTTTTCCCCCAACGATCAAAAATGGACACAAATCACAATCTAAGAAAAATGATTCTCCCCCTCCCCCATAAAAGCTTAGAATGTGTGCGGCACTTTTTTTTTTCTTTTAGCTTTACCTTGTTCTTCAAAGTAAGATTGCAATGTTTTATTTCTAATCCTGTACTCGGGCATCTACATGAGTGTCCTGATTCCATTTTGGCAATGGGCCTCTAGTTTGTTTTTAATCTCTGTGTTTAACTGGTTTTTCAATTTATTTCAGTTTGTTGTGAAGAATTCAGTGGAAGAAAATATGCTGAGCATCCAAAACAAGAAGAGGAAACTGGCTGCTGGAGCCTTTGCAACTAAAAAGCCTACTGCTAGTGAAGTGAAACAAACCAAAATTAATGAAATTAAGACTCTAATTGACTTATAATTTTTGGGATAGCTGGTTAATTATTTGTGAATAACAAAGTTACAGTTTGATATGGCAGTCATGTTCATAATATATACTTCACATGGGTTTATAATTATGCTACTAAGTTCATTGCTAGGGCTGTAAACTCAAATAGTGAAATTTAATTTTCCTGGTCAGTTTGTGTTGATGCTTATTTCCCCTTTTTAATGTGTTTTGCATTCTTGTAAAGCTCCCTTCACTTCCCAAATGTTATAACTTGTGTTTATACAAATAGTTTGACAAGGACCAAAAAAACCCAACTTGGAACAGAATTATAGTAATGACTTGCCTTTCTCTGCCTTTTGTGTATGCAAGTATTTGATTTTTAGAATGAAAATTCAACTAGTATTTTTCTGGCATTGAGAAATATGGTCATCTCTTCTTCCAAAGACATAAATATTAAGAAGTGTGAATAATACATAGACTGAACATAAACATGTCCTTTAAACCAAACCAATAGTGTTCGCTCCCCCACTCCCCGATAGCTGATCAATAATAATTGCAAAACTAATAAGGTGATACAATCTTCTAAGAATAATATTTCTATATTATTTTCTGGCTATCATTCTATATAGTTTTACATGGTTTTTATGGTAAGTAAAACATTTTTATGGAAAGACAGCTTCTGTATCTTCCTTTATGGATGTAGCAGGGAACTAATTGTCTGAAGTGAATTATATTATGTATAAAGCCCTCTAATTTTGTGCATTTCTGTATAAAATTTCTCAGAAGTGTATAGAAGTTCTAAATGTATATCCACACTTTTTTTTTATAGAACATTTGGATAAGAGTACTTGAATACTAGTTTAGTGCTAGTGCTATTACCTAAGCATCTGTGCTTTAGAATTTTTACTGTCCTACAGTGTAGATATTTGCTGCAGACAATATACAAAGTATCTCTGTTTGTGATGTGTACTGTGCTTATGTATTTGGGGGGAAAAGTGAGTAAAAGCTGCTTTTATAATGGTTACAAACACAACACATTCTCCTACTAATCAGCATAATTTGGAAGATGGCAGATAGAGTATTGATTTAAGTACAAACTGACTTATGGAAGATGAGTAGTTTTGTCTTTAATTTTGTTTTTTAAACCAACAAACCCCTCCCCCCCAAATGCTCACTAAGATTTGTCATTATGCTGTTTTAATCCCACCTACCTTTTCCTAGCTGTTTCCAACCCTGGCATTGTACAGCCTCTGTGACAACTGACCCAACTCCCAGCCTAATTATATCAGATTCATAATCAAGAAGAAAAACAGGGAAATTTAGGATAAGTTTGTAGCAGCAGGGAAATGATTATGGTTTTTTTTTTTCTACTTCCAACTTAGCAATAGCTGGCTAGTGTTCTAAAGGGTAAATGGACAGCAACTGCAAGTTTTGATGATGCCTTCCAAAGGAATAGTCCAGGTTTTTAAAAGAAAATCTAAAAGGACCTTACTTGTATTCAGCCACAAAACAAGACTAGTCAGTTTTAATATTTTTCTTGTGCTGATTCACTGATATGACAGGAATACTATTTAAGATGACAATTTTCTCACTCCTTAAATTCTGTTATCCTGGTGCCCAGAGTTGTCCCATTTCTCCTTGTCCCCCCAGTTTTGTAAACAGGATCATAATGCCTTAAGTACTCTGACAGATAAGAAAACAAGACTTGCTCTAGGAGGTTGCACATTAAGCAATTCATGACAAGCAAGTGTAGTAGCAATAGGGAGGGAGGCTGAAGACTGTAAGAACTAAGCTAAGACAATAAAAGTCCTATGCCTATCATTCTAAATAGACTGGTTTTAAACTAAAACTGCAATCTGTACTTGCTTTTTACCTAGTCACTAACAGATATACCTCAGGGCAAACCTTATGGACGTATATAATCTTAAGAGCAGATATCTTCTCCACAAAGATGAGTGAAAGAGCTAGGTGAGAATACAATTACAAGATACATATGTAACTGTAGAGGGAGAATGCTGAAGAGGGTTTTGAGGCTGAGTGTTTGAACTTGATCAAATCCTGCTGAATAGGCTTGATATGTTGAAGACACAGACTATTTTTTTAATAGCTTTATTTTTAATAGACTTTACTGGGCCAGTCTATGTTTATGGGGCTAGGAAGACAGTTTTTCTATGTGGTCATAGAAAAAGCCACATTTTAGAGATGCGACAGGAAGAACTTAAAAATTTAGATACAATTGAGTTATTGGGCAAAAGAGAGTCTGTCAATTACAGCATTGTCAACAAGAAAATACTAGCAGGTGTGATGACAATAATGCCAGTTAAATCCTATGCTACTATGTAGCAACGTATACATATTTTTGTATATACTGCATAAACGATACATTGAACTTCACATTGGACCATAAGATCTGTATGTGTGTCCCCCTTTGGAATAAAGTTTTCTTTAGTAAGTGTGGATCAAAACAATAGTGGTCTAATAGGATGGAAAAACCATTTTTGATTAGACCTGTATCTTTCTTTTCCTAAGTGAATTTTTAAAAGTACAAGTCATTAAGTTGCATATGAACTGGTGCCATGCCTGATCAACCATTTAACCTTTTAACTTGCCCTGATGCAAGATAACCAAACAACTTGTAAGGCTGAATCATGACCAGCTTTCTGGACACTAACTTATGAAAGGTCTAGTAGTTTCATTCCCTGAAGCAGTCTCCTCACTGAGTGAGCCCTTTACCAACCAACACAGAATGGAATTAGTTGTGGCTCCTGCTATGCAGAATGGCATTCGAAAGGAGGGACTTAATGCAGCTGGTGTATGTATGCACAGATATCCCCTCCCAAGTATGCATTAATGCAGGGCTGGCCAGCTTGTAGTACAAGTGCCATGGACAGCCTTTGTTTATGGTACAGCAGAAGATAAGGTAGGGGATATAGGGAAAGAAACAAAATAGAAAAAAAGATTGGGCAGAAGGGGAATGGAGTGGCATACTTCAAAAAAAAAAAAGACTCCCTCCCTCCCATCCCTTAATGCATAGGAGGAATAAGAGTTGAAGCTAAAAGCATGAGGCCTTTGTATTTCTGTGTACCTTTAAGTAAAGACATGTACACTAGAATTGGGTAATGAAAGCATGAGTTGCAAATGTCTGTTCCTTTTTGGCTGGAGTGTAAAAACCCATCCTCCCCCCATATCTTATTGGCTCTTAAAATTAGCTTTTGGCTGACTAGCTTTTTCCCATTTTGAAGTTCTTACTGATGTCAATGATTAGGGAACAGAACCTGTATCCAATTTTGGAAAGAATATGCATGAGCTCATACAGACAGAAAACGTGTGCAAGTTTCAACAATTAGTTTCAAAAGACTTTAATGAGGCCCCTCTCCCAAGTGCTGCCTCTACAGCTATAGCTGTCATCACCAGGAACAAGTCCCAGGATATATTTTTGTATAAAGGCTGCTGCTGTAGTAGAGTACTCCACCCCTTGAATCACAAAACAATAAGCCAACATGACTACTTCAAGAAGAAATCAGTCCCCCAACACAGAAGGGCTATCATTTGCCATTTCATTTTGGTATCATGTACACCTAGATTTGAAGCAGATGTTGTTATAAACTGGAAAAACAACAGCAGTTGGTCAGCCACAGGCAATAATTTGGCAACATGATACAAACCTGGACCCAGGACTAATAAGAGAGTACTCATATTACAAGTAAAATGGCATGCTTCCAACATTTTTCTGCTCAAACAGGCTAATCAAGAAGTGGACATGTCAGTAGACTATGGCTGTGTACATGCTGTTTGACTTTTAGTGTAACAGCTAGCTGTCTTTTGACTGCTGCTGTGAGTATACACAAGGATGACAACTTAACTAGGCAACGTTAGAGAACTTGGAAAGTGATGGAGTAGAAATAAAAAAAAAATCATTTTCAGATTTAAAAATAAACTTGGAACCTCAGCATGTTTATAGATGTGCTGTGGGGGGCACTTCAGTTAGTAGTTTTGATTGCAGAAAATAAAAAATACTTGTTTCTTTTCCTCAGGTCTCTGGAGCAGCAATGTAAAGCTTTTCTGCTTAATGAAACTATTCCCTTATTTACTAAAAATAGTTCTAGCCCTCTGAGTTTTAGTAGTGCTTCCTTTCTTTAACAGTAAAAAAGGGGAAGAAATGGGGTGGGGGGAAGAGACTTATTCCTACCCAAAGGCTAAATAAACATTTTAGCCTAGAAACAGTATGGATTTTTTTGTATTGGAAGGTAGTAATCAATGCATTTCCCACAGAGGTATTTTTGTGAACTTATATTGACGTTTATAATAAATATATTGGCTGAACAAGTTAATATTGCCTAGAAGGGTTCCTAGGTGCTGATATGAAAAGATAAAATGAACATAAAACTCTTAACTCTTTAACAGTGCAGCCCTCAACACTCCTGTCACCAAAACAGATTAGTTAAATACTGATGCCTTAAGGCTGACTGTGTTTGCATTGATGGGCAAAGTTAACATGTGTCCCCTGAGCTTTTTTTATTATTATTAATAATAATAATAATAATAGTAATAATAAAACAATAATAAGTTATGGATAGCTTCCCCCTTCCCTCCAGGTTTCTGTAGCAAGCCAAGACCAGTTTACAGTCATGCAACTTGGTCAGATGTTTCCACTTCAGAGAATTGGAAACCTCATTTATGAACATACATACAGCTAGTAGTTTGGGGCCCATACAAAAGCTCCCACTCTCCATGATGCCACTAGTTTAATTGGTTTGAATCTGTGTGAAATTGCTTATTAAATATGAATTAAAAACTGTAATTTGGTAGATACTTTTAGCCACTTTTGCTCAAGTTGTTGGGACAAGAAATTTTATGCCTGCCCTAGACACTATGGTCAGGCCAGTTAATACTGGGATGGCAGCAGGAACTGCTGTTGGTAGTAATGTGCATATATAGGTTTCAAAACATGGTGACAGATCAATAAATATTTGTGTGCTTACATAAGCTTTTCTCTTGCTTCTACCTCTTTGTCTCTAACAGGATTTCTCAGAGAAAAATTGTTTGCCATTGCAGGGGAGGGGGAAAAGTAGAATGTTGGAGAGGGACTTGGTGTGCTCTCTGGGTTCACATCTGAAACCTGACTTGCCCTCCATATCCCTATAACCACTAGATGTTAAGAGTCATAGGAATATCAAAAATAGTCTTCAATAGCCTTCTGTACAAGTATAATTTCTAAACCATTTCAAACAGATGTTTATTCAGCTTCTCCATAAAAACACAACCAAGTTCAGTGATGGAGGTTCCCATTCTCCTAGTTAACTTTGTATAGTTCCCTTTTTCTCCACACAAAAGTGACTTTGCCCAGAGTATTGCTGTCATTTTTGCACAGGAAATTGACCAGGCAATACTTTTGAGTACTCTTAATTAGCCACCTCTTAATACCAGTTGATGTAGTTAGAATTTAGCCTGACAAACTATGCCAAGGTTCATCTGTTCTTAGTCTAGCTAACATATTTCTTTACTGTTGCCCATCACAGCCAGGAACTGGAGAATTGGTTTTTCAGTTAGCTATTTTAGTATTTCCTTGCAATTTCCTCAAAAATTGAGAGGAAGACATCTGCTATTAAATTTACAGGCTCCTTATATTTGGTAGAAATTGAGAATTTTTTAAACAGGAGCTACTGTTATTTAATGAGGCTTCAGCACTATCTTGCAGTTGAGAGCCTCACAATTGAGTTTGGGAAAGCCAGAAATGCATCATGAGTATTTATTTTGCAGTAAGTGTAATATTACAGGTAACAGGTAAAACTTTAATTTACTAGTCCCATAACAACACAGAACTGAACAAAAGCATTCTATAATACACAGTAACCTGGTCAAGATCTTCAGGGCAAGGTGCAACTGGCAAAGCCGTGCCATTACTAGTAAATTTGCATGTATGCCAACAGTGTAATACTAATACATTTAGAATAAGGCAAAATGGCAGCCACCTTAACCTCTGAGCAGCCCTGTAAAAGGTCTCATGTGCAAGATAACAAGCAAACAGGAGTAATGCCATTCCACCTTTTAGAGGTAAAGCACAGGTCTACAGGTTTAAAGGAAGAAGTTTCAAGCTAGTTTAGTGCCCTGCTCCCATCCCCCCCTCTAGGTATATCCAGCAAATGTATTAGGGAAGACTTGAAAGTTGGGCAAGTATTAGGTGGCAGAACAATTTCTGCTTTATAGTTTTTGTTCAGTTCTCACCTGTAGTACTGCAGAGGCTTTCAGCCAAGGAGTTTTTAAAAAAAAAAAAAAATATCAAGCTACTAGTGAATTTAACTGACCATATTCAACACTTTTCTAGCTACTATAGCTGTGGACCAAGTCCTTGTACTGTCTGTGTTTAGAGGAGACAAAAGTTTCTACTGGAGGTAGGTGTCAAGTTTTTTCTTGATGTTATCAAAAGAATCTGCTCCCATGTAGTCAGCCTGGCCTTGTTCCCACCTCTCTTTGCGTTCTTCTGAAGATACAGTTGGTTGTGGCGGTGGTGAGGAAGGTGATGATGCTGTTGCTGAAACTGACATGTGGGACACTGCCTCTGTAACCTCATCCTAGAAAGAGAGCAGAGTAAGTATGGTGCACAGGAGTAGGTTACGTAACTTAAGAAAAGCAGTAGGGGGCATTGGGTAGGAGAACCAATGAGATGTTCTCATGCAAAGCAGCAAGCACTTTAGAAGTCAGTGCAAGGAGTTATACACACTTCCCTAGCAAAATAATGAACAAAAAACTGAGAAGTCAGTGGAAAAATGTGCAAGAACATAATCAAGATTAGGTTTAAGTTCTTCATACCTCTCTACAGAAGCCACAAGAGAAAGCCAGAGTATAGACCAAGCCCGATAGCTGCAAATAGTTCATTAGACAGGTGTAAGATGGACAAGAGTTAAGCAAAGCTGAAATAGATTAGTAACTTTGGGCTTAGAAAGGTTGAGAACTTAAACTACTTCATATTCTGTGTATTAACTAGAGTTGCTGTGAAGCTGCACCACATGCATTCTGTTAGAACTCCATGCACAAAAGCTAAAATAAACATCAAGAATTTGCTTCCAGCTAAACCTAAAACCTTCCACTAAGATGTTTACTACAGAATGAAATTGGTTCAATCCATAATAAATGGAGTGGACACATGACACAGCCTTATACCAGGGGTTAAGTTATCCTTTAGAAAAAGAAGCAATTACACTGGCATATTTGTCAGGTGTCTGCTCTCCTGATTCAGTTTCATCTCTGGGTAGGCATTTGCTCAAATAGAGAACTAGCCATCCCATCCCCTAGTGGCCAGGTGATGTAATACTAGCTACTGCAAGCTGCTTGCTTGGGATTGTGAAGGGGATGAACAGTAGTGCAGAGTAATATCCAGGGTGCATATCGTGGAGACTAAGGGTGTCAATGCATGCAACAGTTTTCTAGACTTGAGCAATTTGTCCTATAGAAGCCTGAAAAGCTACATTTCTAGCCATGTAGTATTCTCCTGCCCTCTGACAACCGTTGCCATATTTAGAATTCCCTACTATACAAGGGTATATTTCAGCCATGCTTAGGAATACTAGCTTCCTCTTTACACAATGTTTCTGAACTGCAGGTTACTTTGTAGAAATGAATTGCTTTCAGGGAGGACACAGGTGTATCTACCCTCTGACCCTCCAGAAGAGACATGCTATTTTACTGGTTTGTTTCTGCTAGTATTTAAGCTTCTTACCAGCTATAAGAATGACATTTTTAATGATTGCAGTGATAAGGGATACCCTCTAATGTAGAAGCCCCTGCTGTATTTTTGTTTTCATTTTAGTCCTCTCTTATAAAAACAGCTGGCTATGAAAAGAGAGCCCAAAGTGCTACTTTGCATCAGCATACTGTACTGCTTTTCCAAATTCCTTCAATGGAAAATAGGACTCTTGCAGTAAGTCTTATTTGTGGCCCATTATTCTGTAACAGTTCTACGTAGAATGATGCGGGAGACTAAATATTTTAAATAAAGTTAAGAAAGGTTTGAAGAGTTATTTTCTTTGTGGTAGCATAACTTCAGCTATGACGAATAAACCAAGATAAAGATTACTTTTACAGCATTGGTCACTTTTTAATATAAGATGCTGACATTTTTGGAATAAGTCAAGAGACAGTTTAGATTACCATTTCTGAGAATTCTTTTTTTTTTTTTTTTTTTTTTTTTTTTTTTTTTTTTTTTTTTTTTTTTTTTTTTTTTTTTTACAAGTTAAGCAATTTACAGCTCTTTAGAAACTGTATCCCTGACTGTTTCTGTTGCTACTACCTAGTATTACAAAGATTCCTAGTTAAGAATGATTGGCATCAGGAACTAGAGTCAATGTTATTTAAAGAAACCTTTGTGAGGCTTGAACCTAAAAAACCATGTCTCCCAGTGCTTGATATGGAAGATGAGTGCTTAGCTTAGAGACTCCAAGCCTCTACATGCAGCTTGCAAAGTATCAGTGTGGTTTTTACAACAGCACTAGCCACTTCCTCAGTAATTCTTTACAGTTCATAGTAATTATGAAAAAGGAAATTGAGTAAATCAGGCAATTATGCTAGTAGTGGGGTTTATGTGATCACGTCATTTGTTCTACCTTTTCTCAAGTCCCATAAGGTTGGAATGTTGCTCTGCAAAATTCTGGAGACTTTAGGGGAAGATCTGGGGGTGTTAAGTTTGGAATGTAGGGATGCAGGGAAGGGGAGGAAGCATGAAGCTCCTCACATTTTAAGCTGTTTACACAAAGAAGTATCCAAGCACAAGAATAAAAAGACATACCATGTGTACACCTGTGGTAGTCTCTTTAACAACTCCATGCTGCTCTAATAGAGGTAAGACGTTGGTAATATAGATATCCCACCAGATATTGAGGAATTCTGGGTGAACCATTGTTGGATCATGTGCATCTCCTCTTATGCTTTTTGTTTTGGAGTCATAGGTGTAGTTCCATGGTTTTATGCTTCCCAAGAAATGCACTACTTTAGTATTTGCACCAAACCTGCCAAATAAAGAAGTCGGAATTTGTAGATTCTGTAAGGGTCTAAAGCAATGCAACTACAGGACATGTTGGTCTTTAGAAGGACTAAATGCTATGAAGCTGCAGCTGCTTACTGGGACTGAAAGCATCGCTATGCAATAGGATAATGTAGATACAGTTCTACATTGTGATTAGACTATTCAGACTGAATCTAGCCAAGACATAGTTGTTTGGGCCATTTCAGTACTTACAGCAACCTCAGTCTCTTGGTAGTATGATGTCCATGATAGCTCAGGAGAGAACAGTTTCAAGCAGCAGTTGCAATCAGAACAAGTTTTGATACTGACAAGTTTCCACTATAGACCCACCAATCCAGACAGCTAGGCACCAAAAACTTAGCCTATATCAAGTATCAGTGATAAGGTAACATCTTAGCCTTTGATCCTGTAGAAAGGAAATTTCTAGTTGGTCAGAATATCCAATTTCTCAAGATTCTGCCTCTGCATAAATGCAGTGTTCAATTTAAGCATCAAGAAAGGACTTAATCTTCCCACAGCAGATTGGACAGCCAGCATCAGAACAACAAACCTCTCAAGGAGAAGTTGGCAACATTTCAAATACATGGCTATCAGAACTCTTTGTATTGCAACTATTCTTATTCAATATTTTTAGAGAGATTTCTGCCTTGAATGATACTTTCCTTCTGGCAAATATGAATGGTCCCCTACTTCTGCTCAGCTAGTCTTCAGATCATCTCCAGATTCAAAGCTTCTTTATGAACACTAGAGAATTTCTATCACTAAACTAGCCTGCTTTAGTGACTGCTTTGAATATTAGTATTATTTTCAGTATCAGTTTTACTTGTCTTATTAGGAATCAGCTTGTTCAGTAGATGCAGGCTGCCTCGAGTCTGAATGTCATCTTTCTGCAATAAATACAGCTATGTTTCTAAGTCTGCACCATAATACGAATTGGAGAACCATCATAGTATAACTTGAGCTAAGTTACTTGCATTTTATTTAAAGTTACTGTGTGATTTTACTGTGGTGTGAAAGCCCATGCCCCTTCATGCAGATTTTAGATAATACTTGTTACCAGTACACAGCAGCTTAAAGAGAAATGGCAAAAGGTCAAATTTGTTTTATGTTTGATAGGCTTTAAAGAATTTTCTTCTTAGCCTTTAAGAAGTGTCAGAGTGAGAAGTCAAAGGGTCAGTATGAGAACAAGTTTGGTTTCAGCTTGTCGTGCATTTCAATTGACCCAGGACTATTTTTTGTGCTTGAGGGTTGACTTTTCTTCCATTATTGATTAGATACCAAGTGTCAATCTGTTTTCAATTAAAGCTTAACAAACAAAAATAGCTTAAATTTGGCCTGATTTAAGGTGGAGAATACCTTATATAAAAGAGTTCATTTAAGTCACTCTGGCTTTACATAGGAATTCTCACTATTTTAAGAATAGTTTGTATGTTTGTGAGTCTGGTCTTCTACAATAATTAAGCTAGCAGACTGTTTCCCCAATTGTTCTCAGAATCTACTCTGTGGATTTTGTCAGCTTATCTTTGGTTTTATCTATTTGCCACAGATCTGTATTAAGTACACTTGAATTGGTCACCATCACAGGCTGAACTCTTTTCCTAAAGAGCCAGGTCCCCCCAACCCAGTCTTTTGAATCTTAACATGCATGTTGTTGTATTTGGCATTTTCCTTTGGAAAAAGGGATTAGTAAAACAGGTGTGAAGTTTGGCCTTGCTGTACAGCTCTGAAATACAAGATCTTAATGTCAGTAGGTTTAAAATTTGGTTTATTTCAGTTGGATTACTATGAGTTTAGCTCATCTAACAAACATTAAAGAAGCTGTTCCATTTCTTATGTCCTGCTGTAGTAACTTACTCCACACAGATGTAAGGCATGGTGTGTGTGTGCTGGGGGTGGGGTTACTTTTACTGTCTGAAGCCCTTTTTTCTTGAAGGCTTCAGTTAAGCCTCAGTTAGAGCCAACTTGGTAAGAAGGAAGTTGTCAAGAGCCAAGTAAATCCAGCTGACAAAGGTCAATTATAAACCCTTACTGTCATATGACCAACCTATCAGAAGCCAAGTAGGGTATACACATCACAATAACTGTTAGCTTAACAAATACCATTTAATACTGACTATTTAAGTAAGAATCTCTGGCTTACATATACTTCTTAAAATAGGTGTTCCAATTTTAGACTGCCAGTATTTCAGATGTTCTGATCACAAGACATAGCTGGAATCTGAGCCAGCAATGGTCTTGCTTAATGTGAACTGCTGCTTTAGTCTCTAATAACCTGATGTCATCTAGGTATCAAATGCAATTGCTTTTCACTTATTTCTGAAGTTAGCAGCAATAGTCTAGCTATATTATAGCTTGTAACCATTTGAAGATTATACAGTGACAGAATTAGTTCAAGAATAGAAGCAGGGTAGTAACAGCTCCCAGTTGTGTTACAGTTGGAGAGAAGGTGTCCTTAATGGCACAATCATTTTCTATAGCAGGAAGAATAAAAGCCAGTTTTCCAAGCAGCTGTCCCTACAGGTCAGGGAAGACTGATGCAAGGTAGAGTGAAGATTAGAGCAGGAAGTCTATGTCTAATCAGATCATTTCCATTTAACCAAGGGTAATGCAACATGATTTGTTCAGCTTTTTTCTTTCTTTAAAAAGTGTCAAGGTATACTCTAGACACCTGTCAGCCTCAGCTACCTTGCTTAGTTTTGAGAACATGGAAGTCAGAGGGGAAGGCAAGCATGATTTGGTAAGTCATCACCAAACTGAGCCCATATCGACTTTGGATGAAGTCTGTTGGAGTTCAGCCAAAGAATGCTCATAGGTAGAGCAATATGACCACCAATACAAGAGGTAAAAAGCTGTGCTCTCAGTATAAGGACAGTTGACAGGAACTTCTAACTCACGGGACAGAGTTGCTGCCATTGAGAGAGGCAACATTAGAAGACTGAACCTTGTAAATGCCAGTTATATTTATTTTGATTTATTCTAAGATCAGTTAATTAAATTGTTCAAAACAAGGTTTGTTGGTTAAGGGCTTGGACCAGAGATGCTAACAAGGAACAGAAATTCTACAGCTCTAAATTAGGAAATGTCAAAGCTATAGGAGTTTTAATGTTGTGAGTCTAGAGTGATCTTGCAGCAACTTGCTATATGCAAGTTTTATTTTCTGCTCTTCTACCTCCTAGTTACAAGATGCTGTCATAGCTGCTACCTCCAACAACTGTCAAGGACTAGTTGCTTATCTCTGCTCTGATCTTAGTGTAAATTACAGGCATGATTCTTTTATAGGATTTTATATGCGCCAGAGTAATAGTGGTAACCAGGCTCTAAGAGAGCATTTGCCATCAGGTCTCTTAACTGGCCTAGGCCCTGAATTGCCATTTTGAATTGGTTTTAGTGAATGAAGTTATGTACAGCAAGAGATTAACTACATAGGAAGCTCTATAAAGTTTGGCCCATAGAGTAGCTAAAAATATATATTTAAATATTTTGAACTTACACTTTAAATGCTGGGAGGTATGAGTATATAGAAATGCTGCTCAAGTTATAAATAAACGGTAGATGCTTGCTGATATCTGTTGTTGCCCAGCTGCTGAAGAAAGTGTTTAGTAGCCCCTGGTCCCCTCCTGAAAAGGGAAGAGAGAGAAATAGTTAGTAGGCTTCAAAAATTCCCATTTTAGAATTTCTTCAGGTAGTTGTGAAATTTTTCTCAAATCACAAGCTGGGCATTTCCAGTAAACCTTTTCCATTCTGCCTCCAAGTCCTACTTGAAAGTTTCTTCCATAATGGTATGGACATTTCTAATGAATCTCTCCCCACTTGTATACCACATTTGTTATTGGACAGGTTGTGCCTGTGTTTGTCCCAGGACAGAAATATCCCAGGGTAGGTATGTACACACACCACTCTAATCAGGGTTTAGAAAGATGCTGAATGCACTGCTGCTTTTTGGCCATTTAATCAGTTACGTAACCCTGGGACAACTGTTCAGACGTACTTTGCAGTGCCCCAGGACAAACTCTTAGACCTCCTTATCATGAGAGCCTTTTTAGAATTTATCCTAGGACAATGGGCATGGACAGCTGAGTGACTGCTCTTTTTGGGCATCTATACACATGCTCCAGGGTGGAGGGATGGGCACTTTAATTAGAGCAGCTCTAAGAGACTACAGCTGCTCTAATTAAAGTGCCTACAGCACCATATGTATTCAGCATCCCACACTTCAAAATGGCAAGCTTTTAGTTCAAGTGCCCCCTCCACCATTTTGAAGCATAGGAACACTGAATAGACATGACACAGAGGCAGCTGGAGCTCCTCAACATACTCCAGTAGACTATTACAGGCAGTCCTTGGACTTAAGACCCTGTTTTCAGGAGCCAATTGTGTCGTAAGTCAAAAGATCGCAACTCTGAACCAACTTATCAGAAGAAACGATTCGTTACTGAATCAAGGCCTGATACCCTATATTCACCAAAAATACTCCAAAATTTTGTACTCAAATCAATTATAGATGAGTAATCTAGCTACATTAATGTATTTATATTGTAAATAGCAATCATATTGATTTGGAAGGACTTCTTTGATGCGACTTTGCTGGACTTTATGAAAGGCTCTTGGTTGGACTTTTTGAAGGGTTCTTGGCTGGAGTCTTCTCAGGAGTCTTGGCTGCAGGTTTTTCCGGAGTCTTGGCTGCTTTCTTAAAGAAAGTGTCCAAGGAAGTTTGGACAGATGTTCTCCAGGGAGATGGGCGACACAGCAAACTTGTGACGCCCCGGCAGCAAACACTGGATCAAGCATTGTAAAGTCGAAACTGACATCAGAATTGAAACAGGGTGTCGGTCTATAAATGTAATTGTGAAACGGTGCAACTCAAAATGTTCTAAGTTGAGGACTGCCTATAATCAAGTCTGCTCTGACATGTGCCAATTAGCACACGTCGGAGCAGATGTCCAGCATGTGTATAGGTGCCCTTTGTTCTGGGATAAAATGGTTTATCCCAGGGCAAGTGCAATATCTGTTTGTAGCCTACGAAGGATTTTTTAGGCAATTTTGATTCTCAACAGGTAGCAAGACTTGGGAACCCGAATGTCATAACTTCCAGTGTTTTCTCTTCATTTTCAGCTTCAGCTGAAGCAAAATAGAAAAGTTTAGCTATTTAAGTATTTAAGTACTGCTTTTAGTTCCAGAAAGGTAGGCAGCATTCTGAACTTCAAATACAGTGGACTCATTTCTGATGTTATCTTTGTATCACTTGTAAGGTGGTAAAAGAGCCCAGGGTTATTTATCAAGAGCCTATTAAGAATAAAGCAATCCTGTAGGACTGCTTCCCTTACTTCAATTCTCTCCCCTGCCCCCCTCCCAAAATAAACACTTCCTAAGACAGCAATTTGCTCAGTTATCAAAATTCCAGCTTCTACAAGAATTTAAGATCTATTGTATGAAATGCATTCAGATTGAATTATCTAGTTTAAAATGTTTTATGCTCTAGTTCACACATGGAATGAGTACTTAAGACTGTGTTGAATTCAGAACATCAGGAACCACAGTAGATGGCTTCTTGGTTTAATAAAATGTAAGCGTTTCCAGAAGATGCACCAAATTATGAAGAAAATGGCAAGGAGACCTGAAATATTACTAGACAAATTCAAGTTATGCTTTAGTGGTCAAATTATATTTTTTAGAGGCAAAGTTTCAAGAGAGAGCATTTAAGTTTTGAGAGAATGTGCAAGTCAACTAAATAGCTTCAAGTATTTGACAGATAACGGATAACATTCCCCTCCCTCCTTACTTTTGGAAACCCCTTTTAGTTTAGGCTCTTACTTGTTAGAAGCCAAGTTGGAGGGGATTGCATGTCAACTTCCACAGAGATTTATGAAGCAGTGTTATCTGCTACCCTGCCACTAGGCCAATTTTATAACTTCTGAATCAAGGCCACTTTTTTTTTAAATCAGCTGAGGAGGAAGTACAATTGCTCCATACCAGGTGTATCTACACATGCA